ATGCCGGAGCGGAAAAAAAGGCACTTCGTTCCAACCTTTTTAAATTGTGCATGAGCGGGTAAAAAGTCACATCGTTTCTACTTCCAAATAATTTTAGCAAAGAGTTTAAACAACATTTGATGTTTTATCGCTTTCGACAAATATGCGAAATTTCAAAACGCTCCAATATATAAATTCAAGCATATCTTCGAAAATTTTTAATAAAAAACTGTAATTTTTTGCAGGTATGCTTAGAAATACGTCTACTTTAAGATGATAGTAAAATTGTTTTAGATTATAATCCAGAAATGTTTTTGAAAAATTTATGAAAATTATTTAAAAATAAATCATAAAAACTGGGTGAATTTTATTTGGAATGAATCTAAATTTCTAAATGTGAAAGGATGAATCAAATAAGTTTAATAAAAAAAAGAGAGATTAATAAATATATACCAAATTGAATTAAAATTGAGGAGCTAGCATTTTGAGAGCTAATTTTTTAAAAACTACTCGTGTGATTTTAACAAAACTTGGTAGTTTGGCGTAATTCGAGTCATAGAATCGAAATATGGAAAACAATTGGTATGTTATTTCAGAAAATGTCCGATTTTGTGTCAAAATACCTATATTAGAACAATGCTATATATAAATCTAATACATATCCTAAGTCACGCTTTCAAGGCATGAAAAAACAAGTTGAATTTCGTCAATCGGCCCAGTAGACGGGAGATAGAGTACATGCTTTTGGATTTTGTGAATGATAGAAATTAAAAAGAAATTTTTAAATATGGTCTTCCAGAATTATGGTAGAAGTGAAATAAAGTCTAGATTATCGATCGAAGTCGAACAGTAATGGATTTAACTAACGTATATTTATTTTCATAGTAAAAATATGATTATTTTTAATAAGATATTTATTTTGGAACGTAACATTAGATCTAAATTAAAAAGAATTTTTCTAAATATAGTCTTGTAGAATTACGTTAGATAGGAAATAAATTCTCCATTTGCGATTGGATTCGAACAGCATTGGACTTGAATAATATATATTCATTTTTATCGTAAAAATACAATTACATCGAATAAGTTATTTATTTTCGGAAACGTAACATTAGATCTAAGTTAAAAAGAAGTTTGCGAAATATTGTCTTGCAGAATTAAAGTAGATATCAAATAAAGTCTCGGTTATCAATCGGATTCGAACAATAATGGCCTTAAATAATGTATATATTTATTTTCATAATAAAAATATGATTGTTTCGAATAAATCATTTATTTTCGAACGTAATATTAGATTTATGTTTATTAGAATAAAGTCAAGCATTAAATATTTAAGAATTAAGTTTGAACATTAATATTTAAATATAAAATTTTACTTTTCAGCTAAATGAACGGGAACAAATATAGTCCTCACAAATGTTATTTTTCTCGGTGTTGGCAATTAACGTTCTTGCATTTTCATCAGTTTAAAAAAAAAAAAATCAGAATTGTTAACTTTGCTTTAATATAAATAAGAATTATTTATTTTGCCGTTAGATGATGTAAGGTTTATCCTAAAATTTTAACAGTTATTTTTAAGCTAAAGCTCCTTTCCTATCCCTTCTAATTTGAGCTTACAATTTCCTACCAGAATATGTTTTTAGAATTGCGTTTAATGCAACTGAGTAGGAGTAGTATTTAAGTCCAAGTTCCACTGACTTCGAGAGACTAGCCCGCGTTTGCCTTTTGGCCACGTCTCTCCAAGCTTTTACTAAACTTGGCCGTATTACAGGCCCTTGATAGCTTCGCTAGCTAATTTGATACTTAGTGGTCAGCTGGTTGGATTTATGTTAGCTTCGGCTACATCTCTTTAGTTAAGCATTAGTTAAGTTATTATTTTTACACTTTTGAGTTTAAACCCAAGTGGAGGCTTTGCTGTACGCCCTGAGAGAGGAGCCGACTGTTATTCTTTATTTTGAGCAATAAAGGGTCATTAAACCTTCTTGAGCGTTACTTTTCTGTTACTGAACTTAAGCGATTATTCGCTTAGCTGTTCAATAGGTTCCTCCACGCTTAAACTGTTAATTAAAATGGTGAAACCCCAAAATGTCACGAAAGAAAATACGGATAAAACAGATTTCTTTCGTGCCACGTGTAGCTTGAATGAAACAAGCGAGTTTGAAAATAAGTGAGACGGCAATAATACGCGCTAAATGAATATAAGAAATTTTATACAGGAACTTGATAAAGTCCAAGAACTAAAATGGCGCAAACTTTCAAACAGCTTTCGGGTGATTTCGAATATTCAACTTTTCCTGAAATCTTTCTTCATATACAGGGTGGGCCAAACAAGACCTACCAATGTTAAACACAAATAACGTTTTTATTTTTTGATATATTTTTTTTTTCTTTTTGTAGGTTATAATTGAATTCTTGGAAATTTATTATGGAACCATACAGTACAAAATGTTTTGAAATTACCGAATTTTTCTATTCTTATCAAGGATCAATTGTTATAACGCAGCGAAAATATCGACAATATTTTAATTCATGTGTACTGTTTGGTGCGGTGTTATGGCCAATAGGGTTACAGCCGAAAACATCGCGGACGAAAACGTCGCGGAGAAAACAACGCAAGGCGAAAACGTCGTGCTACAAAACATCGTGGGAGAAAACATCGCAAAGAGAAGACATCGCAGTTCTAAAACATCGTAGTACAAAACATCGTCGTCGAAAATAAAGCGTTCAAAAAACTTCGCAGTTTAAAAAACATCGCCGTCGAAAATATCGTGGTAAAAAAATAAAGTATCTACAAATCATCGCATTACGAATAACATCGCAGACAGCTTTTTTCAGGCTTTAATAACTGTAAATGTATATTCCCATAATGATTTCTGAGCGCAAGTGATGTAAGGAAGGATAATTTTAAATTCACATTTTTTTATTAACTAATAAATTTGCTGAAAAAATAAGAAGGAAACTTAAGCATAGAAATTAACGCAACTTAATAGATTATACTTTTTATGAAAAATTACCTGTAAAATCTTTATAAATATATTATTATATGGTCTTTGTTACTTAACTATGTCGATTTAAAATTCTATTAAGTGCTATAAGTTGCATTAATTTTCTATGCTTAAGTTTTCTTCTTATTTTCTCAGCAAAATTTAATATTTAATAAAAATATGAAAGTAAAAATTATCCTTCTTTACATCTTGCGCTCACGAATCATTATGGGAATATCCATTTACAGTTATTAAAGCCTGAAAAAAGCATGTCTGCGATGTTATCATCATGCGATGATTTGTAGATACTTTATTTTTTACCACGATATTTTCGACGAGGATGTTTTTAAACTGCGAAGTTTTTGGACCGCTTTATTTTCGACGACGATGTTTTGTACCACGATGTTTTAGAACTGCGATGTTTTCTCCCACGATGTTTTGCAGCACGACGTTTTCGCCTAGCGTTGTCGTTTTCGCCTAGCGACGGTCTCGTCCGCGATGTTTTTGCCGCGATGTTATCGGCGGACACCGGCCAATAGAGTTATCGGCTCATTGTTCTTCGAGAATCAGGATGGAATGCCGGAAACGATTTCCGGAACTTCTTACAGAACAATGATTGAAAACTTTCTGCTGCTAATGGCGGAGCTGAATCCTTTTTTTTTTTTTATGGGAATATTTGACACAGTGTATGTTAATAAACCAGAAACTATCAGACAGCTGAAAGAGAATATTCAAAACGAAATACTGAGCCATCAACCAGAAACATTACGTGGTGTAATGGAAAACGTGTTAAAAAGAGCCAATCTCTGTATCGAGAACAATTGTGAACGTTTGTCTGACGTTATATTTCATACATATTTTCCATAAAACATATTTAATGTATAAAATAAATTAATCAAAATAAATTATTATTGCAAGAATTATCCTCGTTTAACATTAGTAGGTCTTATTTGGCCCATCCGTTATTTACATTACTTCTGCTTTTTAGTAGCTCACAATACACGTACCTTATTTCAAGACTTTTCCAGGTATCATGTGCATTTCTCCAACTAATAAGTACCTTTATTAGAACACTTTATTGCCTGCAATGTAGTGTTTCCCAAGCAAAATTAATTGCCATGAAGCATGCAATAGCTCAAACAAAGCACGTGAATATTAATACGTTAACTCAGATACTTAAGGGGTAATTAAGGCAGCTTATGGCATTGTTCGCTGTAACGTTTAGGCACATAATCATTATAATTATTTCATATAATGTTGTTTGAATAGTTAAGAATACCTAAATTTACTGCAATGTAATACATAGTTATGAAAAGTAAAATATACTCAGTATCATATATCATATATCGCCATATCAGAAATTATTTTCTTTAATGTTATGTAAAATTTATGACTCTGGTGTTTACAATTAGTTTATTTAGAACCAAATTTCACCTCTTCCAATACTATTCCGAGCTATATTATAAGTAATTTCAATAAACGCGCAGTGAATTTGATTCAATAAACGTGAAATATTTACGGATGTTTGGAAATTAAAATCGTCAAGTGTCAACGATTTTCACAGGCTGTAGCCGAGGGGCCCCATAAGGATAATTACACCTTTAGAGTTCATTTGAACACCAACATTTTAAAATTCTAAACATTGTGCTGATATTATACAAGTGAATTACCTTGTAACACAGTTCTCCACATTAAACAATATGTAGTTATAATCTAAGCTTTTTAGTATTTATCGATGTCATTATCCATAGTTATATTCAGAGATTAAGCAAAAATTTAATTTTAAATCATTTTTATTTTTCATGCATCACAAACTACTACATAATACACCCGTCATTGATAAAGAAGTAACTAATGAACCTGTGCTATAAAACTGGTTGATTGGTTTGGGCTTATTTAGTAATGGCAGAGCACTCTAAGGGCTGTCTGCCAGAAAAAACTAATTGAACGCAAGTGATATGCAAAATTCATAAAGCTAAAATTGTTATAACTATTCTCTACGATGTTCAAACACATTACCGTTTATTTTCGTTGCAGGTTGTGTATTTTGCGGCTACCTTTCCTTACATCGTGCTAATCATTCTTCTAATCACAGGAATTTTACAAGAAGGGGCTCTTAATGGTATTTTATACTTTCTCACTCCGGAGTGGAAGAAGCTACTGGATATAAAAGTACGTATTTAACTCCATTCACTTCAATTTTATCACACAAAAAGTATTATCATCTTGAAATGCAAAATTAAATCGGAAAATAAGAAGTTATGCATTTCTCAGACAATCAAACCCATATTAAATATTCGTAACAGCCAACTTAAAGGTTAAACGCGTAAAATTTATTTTATCTAATATTGCCATCTAGAATTCTTGCAAAAGTTATTGATTTCCAACCAAAAGTCGAGCTCCGTTGTTCAGGCTACTGAAATGATATGCCTATCATCATAACCCATGAATATTTAAATGGAATTCTTTTTTTTTATCTTGTAAATTCATTAGGTTTACCTATGCAGGAACGTCAAAAATGTGCGATGTCTCTCTCCGGGATTCGAACTCCGGACCTCTTAAATACGCGCGAGGGTACTTCTTTCAGTCACACCAGGAACACATGTGGAAAAGAGGGAGAAAATGCTTTATATATTACCCCTTTTAAAATGCAGCTGGGGATTAGGGAACACAGCCGCCAAATCCTGGTGATGACTAATTATCATCTACATTCTGTTAGTTAGGGCGCCACTTCTACAATCTTTTAAAATTTTTTCGTTGTCAGGAAATTGAAGAAATCCTCAGTGCTCTCGCAGGGACTCAAACTTCGGAACTCCCAAATACGCGTCGAGTGTGCTACCAGTTACACCACGATAGCATGCAAAAGGAGGGAGAAAATTGCTTATAACATTTTCTTGAATTTATTATTTAGTCATAATATAAATATCGCTTCAAAAATAAAATGAAGGACCAGAACAACTAGTACCATGTACAGCATAACTTGCATCGAGTATATACATTGTAAGAATCGCTTAAAATATCTGTGACGAAAGTTTCCCGCGAAAAAAGGTTCTAAATAAAGTTAGGAAAAAAAATAAAAGCAGTACCTTTAGAGCGGGTAATGATCAGCACTCAAATGTAGGACTTTCTGCCAACGTTTTGATAGTTTTTCAAAGCCTTCGGTCAGAACGTTGATGGCCACGAGTCCAAAAATCACATCAATCTCATTTCGGACGTCCTGTACAGAATGTAATATAGCACCAGCAAGATGTAGCTGCAGGTGTGAAAAGTGTAGAAGTCCGATGGAGGGATGTCGAACCTTATATGGTGGGTATGGCAAACGATCCCATACGAGTCCGTACTGAGTCCAACCGGTGAATGCAGACCCATGTCGTCTTGCATTATCTTGATGGAACATTACCTTTTTGTGCAGGAACTCAGCTTGTCAACGTCAATACGAACTAGCATCTCGCTACACACCTTACTCTCCAGAGTTTTACCTTTTTCCAGATACACTTTGTGGTTAATACCACGCCAATCCCACCACAGCGTGATCTTTTTTGTTAGTCAAACTGCACTTTGCGACGCTGCTGACTGGCTCACCGAGAGCAGACCAACCCCTTTTCGGCTGCGTTGTTGAAGTAAATCCACTTTTCATCACAAGCGGCGATTCGGTCCAGAAGTTTCTCCTTGCGTTGATGTTCGAGCAGATTAGTGCAAACATGAATACTCCCGTCCTTATCTGCTTGAGTCAGTACACAGAAACCACCGGCAGAACAGTTTACAGATTTTTTCCAAAAGTCTGCCGGCTTCTAAAATCTGGCTCGTCTCACTTCACTCAGTATCTAACAGGACATGGTCTCTTCAAGACTTACCTGCATCGCTTCAAAACGAGCATTGCTCATGCGGGATGGTAGGAGATCCGGACCACTATCTGTTTGCTTGCAGAGAGACCGCCAAATATCATCTTAGGCAACCAGTAGCAGACCACATCCATGCATGGGCCGAAGCTATTTCAAAAAATCGCAATGCATTGAAACGCATATGCGATTGCATAAACATAGCACACAAAATTTCAGACAGGCTGGAGTAATTCTCAGCCACCATCCTCGTCACCAGCACGGCCCCTGTATGCTCTGTACCTGTAGTGAACTAATTTTATCCTAAGTTAGATATTTCGGCTTTTCTTATTCCCTGTATATAATTATCTCCTTAACCTTGAATTATGAACCTGACTTGTATTTTGCCTTATTTTATGTATTGTTTCCAGTGTTTTTTGCCTTTTTTTTTTTTGTATTTTTTTACTTTCTAGTATTTTACTTCTTATTACTTTTAGTATTTGTAACCACCTACATAACTCTGTAAATATGTAACTGAAATTGTTCTTCACACCCGCAATGCACCCTTCTCCATCTGCACTATCGTTTCGTCCAGCATTTGTTTACACTGCCCCCAGCAGTCGTCTTGAGCACAATATGTATTTATAAGTGTGTTTTTTTGTTCAAGTTATTTCCGTCAGCTGGGCTACCTGGCCGATATGCTAACTACCCAGTGGACCGGCTGCGTCGCTGTCGGTGGAAAGAAAGTACATGATGCACCCAGCAATTGAACTTGTACGTCAAGTTTATGCGATGCACAGCGCGACTAATGGACACAGCGCTAACGTTTAACTCCTTAGCGAGCTCTCCGAGTGGTTCCATACTGCTCGTCTTCCACAAATTCACGCAGGTTGGCCTCATCAACATTAGTATGCCGATCAGAGTGCTCTGTTTCTTGACCATCATAGTCCTTGTTTTTGAAACCAAGTACCAAGCCTTCACAATGTCATATGATACAACATTAGTACCTACAGCTGTACACGTAATTTAGTAACATTCCGTAGCTGACTTTTTGCAACAGAACTGGAAGTAAATGATGGTTCTAATCTGGTAGCTTGATATTTCCACTTCAGACTCCTTGTACTAAAGAATAACAATATTTTTTTACAAATTTCACAACACAGCTTTCTAAATAAGTATCTTCCTTTCACTTGCCAAAACTCGTTTGACAAAGTATGATTAAACACGCCAACGCAAACTGTTTGTGCAGACTGTATCTCATATCTGTATATCTTTTATAACAGATATCACTTTAGATAAAAAATAACTTTACTATTAAAACTAATAGAAGCGTCCTTTCCTTTGAATGCAATTTGTAGTCAGCATCTTTTCGATATTTTATTTCAATATCCTATCTGAATTTAATACTCTTAGTTGTAACGATGTATTACAAGAGAAAGGAATACTTTATTTTATTTAGAAATTATTATTCAAATCAATAGTGTTTGTATAAGCAAGCTATATGTCTTCTATGTGGTTTGTTGAACTTTAATTTCAAACCGAAAGTATCCTCTTTCTTATTTTGCTCTAGGTATGGCAAGCAGCTGCAGGACAAATGTTCTTTTCACTTGGAGTTTCAATGGGAGCTCTCATTATGTATAGCAGCTACAATGACTTCCGTAATGATATATTCAGGTACTTGTGATTTGAGTTAGTCTGCAAACTATTATCGAACTTAAGCTTCTTTCTTCATCTAATGATGTTCTAATTTAAAAAAAAAAAGCTGATTTGGACACCACGTAACTTCCTGAACGGCCTATTAAATTATACACACTTTTTGCTGCATTTCATTTAAATTATTTTCTCGAATTTCATTAGAGATATATTTCTCAATCAATCAATTCGGTTCTCATGCCGCAGAAAGGCAAAAATGCATAAAAACGCAAAGCATCTTCATTAAAAGTTGAAAAATAAAGAAAATCCTAAACACCAAGTACTGTTGAAAAAATATTTTAAAAAAATTACAATTAAAATTAGTGTTTGTACCCAAAATTAAGCAATTCGGCCAACGGACAAAGAGACAAAATTTTCGGCACTCAAAATTGGTCCCACTGGGCATAAGCACACTGAACTTGGTTCAACACTTGACTTAATTCACTATGCTACTAATAGTTTCAAATGTAGATAAATGCCAGTCTCATTAGGCCTAGCACTATGTAAACATTTAAATTGTTAATAATTCTACAAATATTGCGTTCAGATTAACTAAAGTCATAAAACGCGTAACCGCAACATAAGGACAACGCACATCAATCACCTTTAAAGCGAAAAATGCACAATTTAGCAGCATATAAGAATGAAAACACAGAGCTAACCGAAACGGGAAAGAGAGCAGATTATATAAATAACGGGTGGCCATAATTAAACTGACAGTGCTCACAGTGTTCTGTAGCGCGATCTATTTGCGAGAATGACGCCACATTTTGTAGGAAGATTAAGCAAGACGGGAAACGAAGGATTCCGCGAAAACAAAATTAGTTCCAAAAGTCACCGCTAAGGGAATATTTGGCGCTGTGTAATAGAAAATAGAGTGTTAACAAATGCAAATCAATACGGAAATTACCTTTTATTTGCATTCAATGAGTTCAATGTGGCTGCCGTTGTTGTGGATTCATACTGTATTCTGTGCACAGTATGCACAACAGCAGAAAGTACATGTCTGCAGGAATCTCCCGTACAGTCCGTGCTATGTTATCCTTCAACGTACCAGGTCCTGGGCCACTCCTGATAAAACCTTGGACTTAAGGTAACCCCATAGTCAGAAGTCGCATGGGGTAAGATCAGGCGACCGAGGTGGTCATGCAGTTGGAAAGTAGCGGCTAATGACTCTTTCTGTTGTAAATTTCTTTCGTAGCATCTGTTGCACCAGTACAGCAATGTATTGAGGGGCTCCATCCTGCATGAAAATGATTTCCCCCAGGCATTGTCTTTTCTGAAGTGCCGGAATGACAAAGCTGACAAAGCTTATGTGGCGATATTTCTCTCCGGTAACAGAACAGGTTTCCGGTCCTGTCCGAGTAATGTTCTCATAGAAGAAGGGACCTACGATAAATTCCGCTGTGAACCCACACCAAACAGTTACCTTTGGTGAATTTAAGGGAATTGCTGTGACTTCAGTGGTGATTTGTATCCCAAGTTAGCAGTTCTGGGTATTCACAGTTCCATCAGGTAAAAGTGGGCCTGTCTCCCCATAAGATCTCCATCAGGCCAAGCATCCTCACCTCCATTCTGGCAAGAAGGTGAGAGCCAAAGTCATCGCTTATCATGGTCGCATGGTCGGGGTACGTAACTCTTACACGGCTGATCTTGTAGTATAGAAGTTGATAATCTTTCGTAAGATTTTCCATTACCGTACAGTAAGGCATATCCATAATAAAAGGTAATTTTATTCCGTATTAATTTGCATTTGTTAACTCTCTATTTTCTATTACACAGCGCCAAATATTCCCCTAGCGGTGAATTTTGGAACTATTTTTTTTTCGCGGAATCCTTCGTCTTCTGTCTTGTTTAATCTTCCTACAAAATGTGGAGTCATTCTCGCAAATAGATAGCGCTACAGAACACTGTCAGTTTAATTATGGCCACCCGGTATATATTTACGTTTGGTGCTGTCGATGGCAACAAAAAAGGGGAGATTGTACAGCTGCATATTATAGCAGTTCCGTATACGAAATTTCAAAGTTCTACAGCTAACTATTTTTGAGTTATGCTAGATACGTACGTGCAGACGTCACGAAAAAGATCTCTTCTGAATCTATTTTACAATCCGTTTTGAAAAAAAGAGCCGTTTATTCTATCACGCAAAAACATCGTTCTGGTAGATTCGAGAGATGTCAAAATGGACATTTCCGTTGAAATATGATACCCGAAATGTTTTGCTATTGCAGTACTTCCTTTCATCAGAAAATCATCTTCTTTCATCATCTCCTTTTCAGAAAAAAATCAGTGCAAAAAAAAAAAAAATAGCATTCGAAGTAAGAAATGAAAACTCATTTAATTTGAATTCTCTTTAATAAGACGACAAATTGTAATTTGAAAATGCATACTGGCACAGATATGAGTGAAATATTTCATATAAATCTGTTTAACGTTTACTGAAGCCCGAGGAGATATGCACAGTGCATTTTGTGAGAACCACTTGCTTATCTTCTAAGTGACAACTGTACGAGTAGTAAGTTCATGTCGGAACTATACAGGAGAAGGGTTAAAAGAGCCCTTTATTAAATTCTTTAAAATTCACACTACGTCGACTTGACGCTAACACACTCGAACGGGAACTCAAATCACAGGAATTAAAATAAAAAGTTGAAGATAATTACAAGTAGTAGGAATCAAGAAGCAGGGTTCAGAAAACTCCTGTTACCTAAAACCGCGTCGAAACGAGTGGCAGCAAAAAGCTGTTATGCCACGCAAACCTGCAAATAACTGCGGAAGTAGAACCTCACACAACAGAGGTGACAGGACAGGACAGGAGTAAGTGTGGGAAGCACCAACACATCGCCATTGGCAGAGATGGTGTCGCTCCTTCACACTAACCGTCTTGAGAAGAACACCTCCACAGGACGTACTTACGCCACACATCGGTGTTAATTGAAACGTTATCATTAAGGCATAGAGAACTTGTGGGCGGAAAGATACAGTTGCTGAAGACAATGACATTACAATACCATACATTACAGTTGATGGTGAAATATTATAAATATCAGTATATGTACACAAATAAACAAATAGAACTGAATGGAAGAACATTAAACATAATTAACTTGGTTAAGTTATTGTGATATTAATGGGATGTTTTGGGGACAGTGTAGCAGTTCATAGATGGTTCACAGTTCATTGGCAGTTCATGAAAAGTACATGGATTGAATCAGAGTTCATACATACAGTAGAGTTCACCAGCTCTAGTTATACGATTTTTGATGTGCATAACTGTGGTCGCATTGTTTAGGTGCTAAATCCTTGTTACACTAAGATAATCTATTGCAATGACTGGAAAGGCACCCCCATTGGAAAACTGGCGTTTGTGCCAGAAAAGAAGAAGCACTTACAACAGTTACGGTGCGCACAGTTCCAACAGAGGTGTCAGGTGACGGAGGACGGGGACGCCTGGTGTTTAACATAGGTAAACAGGCGTGTGTCCCACGCCCTCCGCTATTTAGGAATAACAACTCCTTGGGGCCCCGTGAGGCTGCCTCGGGAGATTATAATACAGATCTAAAGATCAATACATGGCCAAACAGGGGCTGAGGATTATTGCTTGACAATGGTTGCGTGACAATAACTTTGTGGGTGTGCATGGCCGTTGGAGTAACACAGATACATAAAAATATACAAAACAAATACAAGAATAGATACATGTACAGGCAAAAACAAACAAATACTAACAGATACGAACATAAGGATGCATTGATATTAAGATAAATATGAAGAGAGACACATATGTAAGAAACAAGAGTAAAAACAAGGGTAATACAAGAGTAATAAATACTTTAAAAAAAACTAAAATACAGAGTGGGGTAAAGGCAATAGCATAACTCTTTCTAACTTTCCTTCTAAAAACTCGGTATTTCAACTTTTTCTCCTCAAGGTAGAATTTGCATTTCTTCACTGGCGCTACCGAATTTAAATAGTTTGGCACTGACATTTTGAATTTGACACAGGAGAATGAAGACTTATAGGAAAGAACGTAAAATTAAATTAACTCGGTTATATAAAATAAATAAAAATCCCTACACATTTATTAGTCACCTTACTTAAGTTAATTTAACATGCTGTGTAAATATAGCATGTTTCAGAAAAAGGAGTCTAATTTTATTTGTTTGGAAAATTATCATTTCTCTCAATATCTTTATATATTATTATATATAAGATATTAAAAGATTAATCTTTATATATAATATATAGATATTTTTTATATTTTTATATATTATTATAATAATAAATTATATATTATCTTTATGTATTATTATTATTATATTTATTATTGTATAATTATATATATACTGTATATTATAATTTTATATTTATTTATTTATTATTACTCGCAATAACTTTATATATTTATCTTTATATATTAAATTAAAAGCAAATTTATAATTTTTGGAGCAACTAAAGCTAATATTGTACAGTAATAAGTCTAAAAAAGAAACAAAACGGAGTAAGATTGAACCAAAAATAATTAAATCATTCAAAGGTAAAAACAGAAACGTAATCTTACATTTCTCGTAACATCATCAGGGAATTAGTGCCATTAGCAAGTGTAACAGAATAGCCATGTTTCTGAAATATTCAATTAGAAATTAATAAAGTATTTTATATTGAAGTAAAAAAATTAATTACATGTAGTAATTAAACTGTAATTAAAATAGAACAATTCCTCCGGGAGTTGGATTCTGAGAACGCGTAGCAAGACAGCTATGACTTTAAATATTCAATGAACAATTTAATCAAATATTTCTGTATTCAAATAAACAAATTATGTAAAAGAAGTAATTAATGTTCATTAAAATAGTTCAAACTGTTCCACATTATTAAAACGTTATGAAAATAGGAAAAAGCATTCATCAATTAAAAATAAATGTGTAAGAGCCCTAAACGCATACATTATCGAACGCATTTCTTCTGGTATGCTTCATTTTCATTGCATAATTAAATTCATCTAATTACCGTGTTACATTGAATTCAAACCACACCACTCTTCATTTAAAATTTACAGTCCTAAATTAGGGTACATCCTTAATTCAAATCTATTTTTTATCGTTTTTACAGTTTCCCAATTTTAAAATCTTAACTGCGGATTATATTCGAAGTAAGACGATGGTAAATTTTCCTTTTAAAATCGCAATTATTACATTATTATTAAAAATGTCATCTGCAAACCTTCATTTTCAGGGATGCAATGGTCGTCAGTGTACTGGATACTGTGACGAGCATTATATCCGGAATGGTCATCTTTTCCGTCCTCGGTGCCATGGCTCATGATTTAGGCCCCGACATAGGTGTGGAGGATGTTGTGGCTAGCGGTGAGCAGAATTTAGTATGTACGGGGTATTGTATAGTTTATAGTTATCTTATTTCAAAGAATAAAAAGAGTACTTGGATATTAGCTGGCATCTGTCGGTACATCGCCATCAACCCATTAGCCTCTTTTGCCAATAACATACATTTTCGAAGACAGCATATAAGGTATTTCTCCCGCTTTCGTAGTGTAGTGGTCATAGTGGTTAGCATGCGTATTCGAGAGGTCCGTGGTTCGATTCGCGGTGAAGGCATTGCTCATTTTTCATCTTCCTGCTTTCAAAAAATACTTAATGTCCCTACAAGCAAATCTATGAAACAGGTTTGTGAATTCCCGGTGATGTCATTTGGAAATGCTATCAAGCCAACTGTTATTATCCGTAGCTTGTTCCGACTTTCATATAAACTCTGCTAAATAAGAAGGCAAATGACATCTCTGCCCACCAGTGGCCGAGCGGTAAAGACACTGAACACTAGTAGTTCGGTACGACTTCGAATCTCGCGAACGGACAGGCAGCTTGCGCCTTTTCGTGGTTTTTCCCATGTGTAACGTGTATACGAGCTAGTTTACCTTAGAAATTCCTCCACGAAGCATCTCTTCTCTTAGGTAGATAGCCCTCGAGGCTTTGCTATAATCACATAAACCAAACCAAACCAAATGATATAGTTCCCAGTTCTTCTTTTAAGAATTTGTAGGCAATTATTAGCGTACCATTTCCAATGTATATCTACATAGCTTTAAAAATCGAAGCACTCGCAATTTGTTTGAATTATACAACATGCCTGGAAATGATGGACTGAAAAAACTTCATTTCTCAGCTTATCTTGAAAACTTATGATGCTGTATAAATTAACACAAGTTAAAAAAAAAAACCCTAGAACGCTTTCCGTGATAAAAGCCTTACCTCCCCCTACCCCCAAAAAATAACTCAGTGCAGATGTGCAGATTTGAAACGTTTTACGGGCACAAAAGCGATGAGAACTAAGACGTTATGATCGAGACTAACAGCGCCCCCCCCGGGTGCTTCACAAAATTCGCAGAAAGAGAGAGAGAAATAAAAAATTGCATCAAGACAACTTCTAGCTTTGTGTGCACCATTTCGCAGGAAAGCAGAATCATAGATGCTGTCATCGGCATTTTATCGGAATATGCCAGCTAACATACAAGTACGATAAATGTTTATTTTCAAATTTACATCTTCATGTATATTGAAATGAAATGTAATTTGAACAAAATTTCCTATTACGAATTTTATTCTATGGTTTTATTTATAGTTTTTAATCAAATTAATTTTGTGTATCTGTATATCATTATGTACTATGAATAAACTGTTTTAATTTTATTTTGTATATGCACCATTATACAGTTTAGTGCTTTGTTGGACTAGAGCCCACCACAGGCCGAGCGGTAAAGTCGCTGAAAACTGATAATTTCGTCCGGGATTTGAGTCCCAGCGAACAGACTAGCTTCATGGGCATTTTGTAGTTTCTTCCCATGTGTAACTTCCATAAGATCCAGTATCCATTTCCGTGTAGTGCCTAATAGCAGAGCACGTATGAAAGAAACGATTAAAAAAAATTTGAAAGCTTTCAGATTTTAAATTACGTCCAAATGGGCGTATTTTTTAACGTTTTGTGTGTTACCTTTATTTATTAAATATCATGTTTTAAGTACTCAAACTATAAAATTCAGTTCAACAGCAATATCGCAAATTAATTTTAAAATGAGCATATCTTTAGAATTTCCGAGATTACGTTATTCAAATTGTGATGGCTCTAGGTACCGCTGTTTCCTCACAATGCGAGAAACATACATACATTTATGCAGATTCTTCATCGTTTAAATCCGGCCCACCAGCGGCCGAGCGGCAATGTCGCTGAACACTGGTAGTTTGGTTCGAGGTTCGAATCCCGCGAACGGGCTGGCTGCATGGGTGTTTTCGTGGTTTTCCCCATATGTAACGTATATACGAGCCAGTTTCTCTTAAAAAGTCCTCGACGAAGGCATCCCTCCCTTAAGGCAGATAGCCCTCGAGTGCTTTGCCGTAATCTAATAAACCAAACCAAACCATTCTTTAATTCCTTTAAATATAAGACATGGCGATAACATATGGTAACAACGATTTGAAATGTGATACAGCCTTTTAAAGGTTTTCGACGCAAAATGGCAAAACTAAATTAATAGTTCTTCAGGGCAAACTGCCCCTTTGGACTAGACTTATATACTAGCTGATGCATTAGCCGTTGCCAGGGCTTTACGCAAAATAAAAAATTTTAATTTAGGGGGATGGGGTATTTTTTCGAAATGTCAGATAGACAGTGATTTTCTTCTTATTTTTGTTCAAGGTGAATTGTGCAAACTTTTACCAAACTCAAATAAAACTGTAGAACAGTACTGAAATAACACAGCGTCATATAATGGTTTTAGTAAGAACCAGTACTTGCTTTGCCATCGGTTATGCTTTTTCGGAAATAAGCTTCCGGAAAACCATCATACACTTGGCCGATTTTTCACCATTTTCGAAATATTCGGAAAAACTTGAGAAAGAGTTCACTTGAATTTTGCTTTAAAGAATCTACGCTGTTCTCGAAACAATCTACGCTATTGTAACTAGAAAGTGAACACGGCGCCTTCTAATAGTTTTAGTGAGAACTGACAGTGGGAAAGCAACAACGGCGACGGAAATCTAAGATGGCATGATGATGTTGTTTTAAAATTGTAAATATGTACAAAAGAGACGTGATTTTAAAATTGTAAGTGTATAAAAATATCAGTATTTACGTTTTGTTTAAAAAAATGCAAATTCTCTGTTTAGCATCCTTGCTTAAGATTTCCACTAATAAGGGAAAGCAACAATGTAAACCTAAGATAGTCAACTTTCTAATACAAACACAGAGTTTGGATACCGTAAGATGGTTCTTCAAACCCTCATGTAGACAGTCGCAGTCCTATGATTTTGAACATCAAGTATGCCAAATGTCATTAAGATCAGAATGAAACTTTATTTTTTAGTCCAAAGGGGCTTTGTCCCTTAAGGAGTATTGTTTTCGTTTTGCGATTTTGCTTTGAAAACTTTTAAAGGCTGTATCATTTTTCAAATCGTTGCCACCAAATACTATCGTCCCGAATTATATTTGAAGAAACTAACTAATGAAGAATCTGCATAAATGTGTTTCTCGCATTGTGATAAAACAACAGTACCTAGAGCCATGCAGTTTTGAATGACGTAATCCTACTGCGAATATCGGCATCTGAAAGTCCAAATTTGAAATTTGGAATTTGTTTTATTATCGGTTTCATATGTTGTAAAACTTTAACGAATTTTTGTTTAAGGGGACTCATACACCTTAAACCCCTCATGATTTTCAAATATGTGACTGTTGCAAGAATTGGAATATTTTATTTATTTTAACAGCAATTACTTCCAACTTTTTACAGCTGACTACATAATATAACTGCTTTGGAAACTAGTAACCAGAACGTTTGTGTTGCCACAAATATTTTTGTAATTTAATCCTCTTTGTGACAAAATATTTCGCCGTGTTTCCACCTTGCGCGCATGATATTTTAAAAATGGCTAAAGGTACATACTTGAAATTGGATGGAATTCTTTATGTGGGCACTACTTTCTAACTGAACCAACAATTTGATGAATATTTTAATAATGAACAATTTTATGGACGAAAACATTACAAATTTTTTAATAAAATACCTTTTATAAACTCAACTCAAAATAAAATAAAAATTTAACATGAAATTTTTAGAATTTTAGGTTCACAGTAGTTTCCGAATGTTATAAAAGCTATATATTAAATATGGAATTAAATTATGAAACAGAATGTTTTAAACTGTGCGCGCAAGTTGGAAACATGACGAAAAATGTTGTCACAAACCGGATTCAATTATAAAAATATCTGTGGCAACACAAACTTTCTGATCACTATTTCAGAAAGAAGCTATATTATGTAGTCAGCTATAAAAAGTTGGTAGTAATTGCTTTTAAAATAAGTAAGTTATCTCAATTGTTGCAACAGTCACCTATTCGAACATCTTATGAGTTTTAAGGTGTATGAGTCCCCTTAACAAACTCAACGATTTAAAAGCGAGCAAAAGCAACACTTTACAGGGGAGAATATATTTTTATATCCAACGCGCGGAACTGTGTATCGGAAATTTTAAAGATAGGCTCATTTAAAAACATTTTGCGACATTGCTGTTGAACTGAATTTCATGGTTTAAGTGCAAAGAACATGATATTTAATAAATAAAGATAATACACAAAAAGTTAACAAAATTCTCCTTTGGATGTAATTTAAAATCTGAAACCTTTCAAATTTTTTTTTTCAATGGCGGGCATTTGCCTCTGTTCGGCATCGGCCCCGCCTAAGGTCAGATGTTGTGACCTCTTTATTATGTAGGCTACTAATAGGTGGGCCACCTTTGCCTCCTATGAAAAGACAGACAACTACATCCATGCCTTCTCCGGGATTCGAACCCGGGCTCATCGGTATCGCAGTTCGGCGACCTTAACCACTATACCGTCTGGGCGGCTCAGAATAAAACTGAAGATTTGTATAAATAAAACTCAGAATGAAGATTTGTATGAATTGCCCACAAACAAACTGACACTCCTCTTTACATATACAGTCCAGTGTAAAGTACCTGTTTACTGAAATAGAATTGATTATCAATTTGTGTTATTGCATCATCGTACAGGCTTCTGTAAAGCTTTAGTTATTAGTTAATTCCTCTAAAATATGTATTAGTGATACATATATTTCCCTTTGGTTAGTTTAATAATCTTCATAGTCCTTCTTCATTTCACATTTTACATACCTACATTTAAGACACAATAACACGCCGAATAAAATACTAATTCAGAAGTCAAACAACAAGAATCAGCGTTATTTTGAAAATATAACGCTGATTTTTTGTTGTTTAACTTCTGAATTAATACCTACACTTGTTAATATTGTATCAATATGCGAAATATGAAACACTAACATGAGTTAGTAATTTAAGTACGCGAACTAATATAAATAAAAAAGGAATAAAATTATAATTTAATATAAAATCATACATCGTACTTAACTGAACAAGTGGCTAACAATCCCACCAGCGGCCGAGCGGTGGAGTCACTGAACACTGGTAGTTGGGTCTGGCGTTCAACTCCTGGAGAACGAGTTAGCTGCACGGGCGTTTTCTTGATTTCCCCCTTGTGTGACGTGTATATGAGCTAGTTTGCCTTAGAAAGTCCTCCACAAAGGCTGCCCTACCTTTAGGCAGATACCTCTCGAGTGCTATGCCGTAAACAAACCGACTAATAGGAGATTGGTCTACAAGTTTCTGAATTTACAGTAAAAAGCTGAAACCTATCAAAGAGAGAAAGTAAAAGAGAGATTTTACAAAATTTCCGAAAATAAATGCGACAACAAGTATGGTTGTTATGAAAGAACCAAATCATTATTAGAGATAAGGAAGTTTTTACAGCATTCCACAATCAATACGATATTAAAATTTAGCCTTCACTTCTTATTTTGCATTTTTGTGTTTAAGAAATATTGAAAAGGGCATTGCGAAACTGCTGATGATATGTATTGGAATTCGTTTCAGGTCCTGGATTAGCATTCATGGCATATCCTGAAGCATTAAGTCGACTTCCCATTCCCCAGCTGTGGTCTGTTCTTTTCTTCTTCATGCTCTTCATACTCGGATTGGATAGTGAGGTAATTCTCTATAGAATATCTTTTATCTGATTCTTCCAGTAAGAAATAATGCGATCATCTTTCACCGAAGATCTGTCAGTATTATTTTCTACCATTTCTTTCTAGAAAGATCATTATTCATAATGCATAAAATTTCGTTAGAAGTACCTGTGAAAATTTCCTTAAACATAAATCAAAGAACTACAGAAAGCTTTCAGTCAAATTAATTAAGTGTATTCTTTCTCGTGGTCCCAATTTTCCCGTATACAACATGGACATGAGACAATTCCCTTTATATAATTCTTCACAAAAGCATCCCTCTTCTTAAGTAAATAGAGTAGTTTGCCATAATTAAATAAACCAAGCTTTCGTATGCCTCCTAAATACACTTTATATTAAATAACTCTCATAATCTGTCAATACATATATATATATATATGAATTTAACAAATATTCTCTATTAAATTCTAATATAAAATTAAAATTTAACTAAGAAATTTTAGTTGCAAAAATAAAAATAAAAGTAAAATTTATTATTGCTGCGAACTAATTTAAAATATCATTTAAATTCTAACGGCATATGTAAATTAAGTGCACGTATCTAAAACTATGAAAAAATATATTATTCCAAAAAATTAAATTGCATAAGTGAATAATCGTTGAGCGGGCAGGAGACATACTTATCAAGGGGAAGTTGTCTCCAAGCCTAACACTTCAATTACTCAATTCGTGTTTCATCATCCATACAGGCAAAGGTAAAAGTAAAAGTAAAATTCAAAACCCAAAGTAAAACCAAATGTTGTGAATTACTAAAAAGAAATTTAAACTAGTGGAATTTTGAAAAATTAGCAAGTAAATGACTAGAATTAAAATTAGTTAAATATCAATTAAGAGTAAAAAAACCAAATTTTTTTAGAAAACCAAAGTAATTTAGAAATTCTTGCCTACAGAAAACTTCTCCGACATGAATTATGTATGCAAACCTAAACTAAACTATATACAATCTATCAAACTATAAAAATTATAATAATAAAAAGGCTAGTAAATACTCGTAGAAAGTTTTAATTTAACTTACTTAGTACTACATATTTGAATTCCTGAGTTAGTCTAGCATTTGCTAAACTAGGTGAAGTAGAGTAGTTTGTTACTACTAACTGTATAAATAGAGGGCGCTAAAACAATGTAAAGTTGAGTATAAATCTGCTATCTGTGAGAGCTATTGTAAAAACCTATGTTGTAAACTTTAATAATGTAAAATGCTTGTTTTGTGTGCCAAAATGTTGCTAACTTTGAGGCATTGTTAAAATGTATAAAATAGTAAAAATTGTGAACGGCTACTGTTTGTGAAAATAGATGATGCAAACTACTAAAGATGTAAAAATTTTGAAAAAATGTTTTTGAAAACATTTTAGTAAAATTAAAATTAAAAGTTCGAATAAACATTTTAATTGAATTAAATTAACTAAATCAATTAAATTTGAATTTGAATTTGAAAATTACAAATTGAAATATTACAGAATTATTGTAAAAAAAACGTTTTGTACTAGACTGCATTGTTTAAAACTAAAGTTTAGTTAAAGTTTAATCAAAACTTTAACTAAATACTGGCCAAAGTAAGGAAACTTAGAAAAATTATGTAAAAATCTTCACTCAATTCGAGCTATAATTGAGACTTTTGAAAAGAGTTGGCCCTTCATTAGTAAAAGGAAAGAATCCAGTATTGATAAAATACACATATTTACAAAATTAATTAATAATTAATTAATATTTACAAGTAATCCCTTAACTCTTCGACTTAAAGGATTCAAGAAATCCCTTAACTTCTTCTCTTTATGTTTCTAACAGTTATTTTAATTTTTAAATATGCTTTAGTTTCTATTCTCCTTTCCTATTCCCTGTAACTGAGGACGAAAAAGTATTTAAAGGAAGGTTTCGCTTTCTTCAGCAGAAGAGCTTAGGAGTCCTGCCGTAAGAACTGCTTCGTTGTTTAAAGCTAACTACGCTCGGCCGTACTGTACGAGCCTGCTGATATTCGCCGGTTAAATTAATTAAGAGCCAACTACGTTAGATAATTTTGTACTGCTTTGGCTAAGTTCAGTTTAGTTTAGCATTAGATTAGTTTCTTATTTTCTTATCTAGATTTAAAGCCCAAGTGGAGGCTTTCCTGTAAGCCCGAGAAAGGGGCCATCTGTTTTCTTAGTTCAAGATGATGAAGGGTGAGTTTTTAGATAATAAACTTTTTCTCTGGTCTATACCATTGGCACACTTAGCGATAAGTCCCCACAGAGCTCAATAAATAAGACAGATACTAAGCTAAATACTGGCCTAAGGTAAGGAAACTTAATACTACTAAGTTACGCATAGACAAAGTAGTTAGAAACATTGCAATATTAAATGATAAATAAATTGTAAATAATATAAAAATAATTAATTAAATTAGTTTACCATTTGTAAATTCATAAAATAAATAAAATTATGTACTATATCGACAAAAACCCAATTAAAACTCTGACAGTTGCACTAGTGCGTTAAGTGTGGTATCAGACTGCCTTCATTTCATCTGGCTGTTTGTAGAGACATTAGGTTGTTTCGAAGCAGGAGAGATGAAAAATGAGTAGTGTCCTCGCCGGGACTCGAAACACGGACCTCTCGATTTCGCGTCGAGCTTGCTGACCACTGCACTGCGAAAGCATGCTAAGAACGCAGGAAAAATAACTTATATACTCCCCCTTTTAAAGGGCGACTAAACACATGACTGTGTTGTCCTTCACTAAAGACAGCCCTAGGAGTTTGCATTACAGGCAGACTGTCCTAGTGAATCGGCTATCCATCTGCCGGTACCAAAGTGGCTCTGTGATTAAAATAAAGGATTATTAAAAAGGGTGAAGTACGCATCGTACTACCTGGTAATCGTTTCCCTTGATAGCTAAAAAATGTAAATGCTTGCGAAAGGAATTATAAATAATGCTGTGTATTGTGTATCACGGTTACAGAAATATTTGCTTAATTTTAAATGCTAACATGTAACTAATATCACGTTCAATAGCAATGAGGCATTTAATAAATATTTGCTAAATCCTTTCAATATTTGTGAAGCATCGGTAAAACATTTATTTGCAGTCAAGTCCGATGAAGTTATTTTGAAATATTTCAACGGCTTAAATTTGTCGATAATATTATCTCCCTCGCTGTTTAGAAAATATTCGCAGCTTAAATGTAACAGTCTGAAATTATTTATAATGTTTGCATATCGTCTAAATTTATTTTAATACTATCTAACTTTAAGCGAATCACTCTACCTTTTAATTCAGTCCTATTTACGTTTACTATTACATTCCACTTACATAAAATTAATACATAGTTTACCGTTTCACATATAATAAATTTCAAATCAGTTTCCAGACTTAATTTTAATTTTCCATGCCACTTCTGTGTAAGATATCAATTTTCTGTTTATATAGTGAGTCAAGTTTGTATAAGGTAATGACTTCATTTCCCTGGTTTCCAGTCGTGTATTTATCTAAAGCTAATAGAAGTTTTAATGAAATTAATAATACATAACCAGCATATTTTGCATATATTTTATATTGTTTAATATGTAGAATATTAAATACTTTTTATTCCGAATGGAAACGCTTTCTGAGAGCCATAGCAGCGTTTATTACTAACATAATTATTACATGTTGTACTGTCATTAGGTTATTTTCAAGCACTAGAGGAAAAAGTAGCAAACCCCAAGCTCTCGAATACTCGGCGAGTGTGCTACCGTTACACCACAAAGGCATACAGAAGAGAGGGAGAAAATACCTTATAATACACTCATGTCCATAAATTAAGGATAATGCAAAATCAAGCAAATGAAGAGGTAGAAGCAAACCAAATTTGACTTATTTGTAAAGCTTATTTATTAAACAAAAGGTAAAGAGCAAAAAAAGATGCTATATGTTTGAAATTATTAAACAATTAGCGATTTTTTTCTCCCTGGAGCAAATTACAAAAAAAAAAAAAAAAAACAAAACTATTTACAAAAAACCAATATTACATGGTTGGTTTGATTGTTAATACATTGTATGTCTCCCAGACGATGCAATACAGTCCGTACAACGCCTAGGCATCTGAGTATCAAATTATCGATCTGATCTTGGGGGATATTACATCACTCAAAAAGCAATGCACTCCGAAGTTCCGGTAGACATGTAGAAGGAGGTTGACGGGCTGCAACTCGTCGGCCAAGCATGTCCCACACGTGTTCTACTGGTTCAAGTCTGGTGAGAATGCTGGCCAGTCTGTACGGGTGATATCCTCCGATTGAAGGCATTCGCTTACGATATTTGCACGGTGAGGACTGGCGTTGTCATCCATAAACACAAATTGGTGCGCCCATGGCACCCCGAAACAAATGTACATGTTGTTCCAGAATGACGTCCCGATAGATATGGCTTGTCATGATTCCAATTTGAACATGAAGGTCAGTTCTGGAACCCAGAATAATTCCACCCCAAACGAGCACTCCTACACCACCGTAACGGTGTCGTTCAATGATGTTTTTCTTGGTGGTAACGAATACCTGGAGCTCTCCATATGAAAGTCCGGCGAGAATCAGACTGCAAGCTAAAACTGGACTCGTCGGAAAACATCACACAAGCCCACTGTTGCGGTGTCCACAGTGCATGCTCTCTACTCCAGGCTAACCGCAGGCGACAGTGAGTTGCAGTAAGTGGAACGCATCTGACAGGTCTACGAACATATAAACCAATCTGCCCTAAGCGTCTGTACACGGTCTGCCTTGAAATTGTGTCGTACCAGTGGCTGAAGAGAGCTGACGAGGCAGGTCTCAGGCTGTGCTCCACCTGTTTTGTTTTGGCAGTAACTGCCAAATACCGGTCCTTATTCGGGCGTTGTAACTCTGGGGCGACCTGTGCTGTAACGTCTACTCACATTACCATCATCTTGGAATCGTTGCCAAATCCTGGAGATTACACTCTGGGCAATTCCAAGTTCGTCTGATACTTCCAGTTGGGTACGCCCACATTCCAGACGGCCGATAATTCTACCACGTAAAAAATCATCCAAATGCGTCCTTTGTGTCATAACTATTCGGTTATTGCACTGAAATGCTTATAAAGCGCCTGCGAACAATTTTACTTCTTTGCCTGTATTCCTTATATATCACTCTCTTGGACACTCGTCATTGTGACGTACCATCGGTGTCATCTGGTTACTTCCTGAAATTTGCATATGATTCTTGAAGATGTGTGTAGTGATTTTACAGGTGATATATTTATTTTAGAGGTCGATTTCGGCGTGACTCCGAATTATCCTTAATTTATGGACATGAGTGTATAATGGAAGTATAAAAAGATTGTATGACTAAATGCATTTTGAAGAGTTCGTCGTGAGTCTTGATTCAATTTTAACAAATGAATTAAATCAAGTAGTTTTTCAGACTTCGATAAGCTTTTGGTTACTTGACATGTTTAAGTTAAAAAAAAAATGTATGAAATTTAAATTTTTACTTGTGCTGTCTACAGAGAAATTTCCTGCTGTAAATACTATTTTACGAAATCACTGTTTATGTTTCGATAAATCTTTTTAAAGAGATTGCGCAATTTTTACATAATATACGTGTGTCTGTTAAACTCCTTTTCTTGAATAAAAAAAATTTCGAACCTGTCGATTTTAACATGTATAAAAACTGAATTGCGCAAGGTGAAAAAATTTCAAATATTTGCTCATCTTAAAGAATCTGAAACTCTGTTTCATGCATTGACGTTTGTGTCTTTATGATGTGAAATGTGACTTTAGCGATTTGTTTTCGAAAATTTAATGAATCAGCGGTTCTCAGCGATATTTGCATGCAGCTTCCAAAAACATGTAACTTAAGTCTGTGAGAAGAAGCTTAAAAAGCACTTTTTCAAATTTGTATTTCTTTCCTCTTTTCCTCCTAAATGTAAGAAATTTAAAAATTCACGTTTTTCCTCTGTTTGTGTCTTGTGTCAAAAATTAAAATCATGTGAAATCATCCTTATTCCTTTTTACTTCCTTTTTCGAAGTAAAGGAAATATTTCGGGGATCATTTGTCGGCGAAAATATCCATTTTGACCGCTCTCGAATCCGTTTAAACGATGTGTACTACACATGTGTACAAACGGACAAAATAAGGAATTTTTTTTTCGAAAAAGGAGAGTAAAATAGTTTTAAAATGGAATCAGAAGAAATGTTTTCATGACGTCTATACATACGTACATACTCTCGTATCTCTCATACCTCTAAAACGAGTAACCTGAGAGCTTTGAAATATTGTATATATGATTGCTATAACATCTAGTTGTGCACCTCCCATTTTGCTTGTAATCGGCGGCAAGTAATTTAAAACGCCGAATTATCCTTCGCTAAAGCTGCCAAGTAATAAATCAATTATTTATAACTAGAAAAGTCTTTTTACATATCCTCTAGAAGTAGAATAAATTTGAGTCAGTATTTTAAGTACAACAGCTTATACTAAAAATACTGGCTAAGATTTATTCCTATAATTCATCTAATTAATTACATTTTTATTTTTTGAAGATGATATATAAAAAAAACTTTTAAAAAATCTTTTCTAACAATAAATTATATATATATGTATATATACCCACTTTATTACCCTGCATCATGAGCTTAGTTGTTTTATTCTTATATGTTGGTAAATTGTACATTTTTTTACTTTAAAAGGGATTGAATTATTTTGTTCTTATGTTCAGGTTAAGGCTTTTATGTTTTTAGTTAATCTGTATACAGTAATTGTAGAATTATCAACGATTTAAAAGCATAAAAGGTGCTATGCTTTATTATAGTATTTGAATAGAAGCTGCCATTTGTTTACATTTGAAATTCTTAGTTAGAACGGTGAATTACTTGAGTTGGTACACATACTTCAGTGTCTTTTTGCCTAGTATGACCAAAAGTTAAACGCCAATTTTCTGCACTGAAATTTTGTCTTCTTGCGCACCGGCTAAATTGCTTGGTTTCGAGTAGAATCTCTAATTGTAAAAATTATTTTTTTAATTATTTTAACTGTATTAAAAAATCAATGAAATTTAAAGAATATAAAAGTAGTGTTTCTCCTCCTGACGAAGTGGCACTGAAGTTGATTGAATTCCTCTTCTTTTATATTCTTTGTTCTTTAAATTTCATTCTCTTTTAGAATTAGGTTTACTTGTTTGAAGTGTTTTAGTTTAACATTTATTATATTCTTTTTTAGATTTATAGGATTTTATGAAATTCATAGCATATGAATTTCAATTTTTGGCCTTAGTGAAAAATTGGTTCTAAATGTTTTACTTTATGTCTTTACTGATAATATTTCAGCAGCTTTATGGGTGAAAATACTAAGCATGATTATAATATGTTTTTAAATTGTTTTTTTATTATATATGTATATGTATATATATGTCTGTGTAGGTAAAGTAAATAATTAAAAAGAGATGAGATCAGCAATAACTAAATTCGTAAAATATAATTTTAAAACAATTATAACTAATCAGACAAAAAAATCTCGCAGAAACGTATAAAGTAACAAAAATTATTTTGCATTTATTAAAATTATAAAAATTGTAAAAATCAAATTCAAACCTGGAGTGCCAGTAAAAAAATGGCAAAATAAACTTTTCATAAAAGAACAAATGAAGTAGAACTTCCACTTCTTTTGTTCTGTTATTGAAAGTTCATTTCGCCATTTTTCGTTTTCCTCAATTTCTTTTGTCTGTTTAGTTATAATTATTTTTATCTTATTATATTTACTAATTAATTTTTTGAAACTGTATGTGCAGGATGAATTCTCAAGTTCTTTTTGCGATTAAAATTTTATATATACATAAAAATCTTATTAAAATTTTTATATATGCATAATTCCTATAACTTAAAGTATGGCTTCTGCTAAAATCTACACAATTTTCCCTAGCAGGAATTGTATATTACTCGTTTTAAATAAAATAAAAAAAATCCGTAAGTTTCCAATATCCAAAAATGTATCTTGCAGTGGATTTTGCGAAAATAATAAAGTTAATACTTTAGAATTGGGTATCGTATGCAATTTCCGATCCTTCAACTGAAAAAAATTTCTGATATGGAAGAAAAGAAATGTGAGTTTGCATATTAATATTTTTTGTTTAGTACCAAAATCCTTCTGTATCTTTGATTTAAAAAAGGATATATTAATTAGAAACGTTGCAGCAATAAAATAAAAAGTATATAATCTCACCTTTAAGTCCGAAATGAAAGTTATAGAAGTCAATTTTAATTTTCCCACACCAAAAGTTATTTATTTAAATACTTCCCCCCACACACACAAATCTTCGACAGATTAACATGGTTTTCGAAAGTTAATAAATTATGATTTTAAATATATGAATAATGTTTTTTTCTTTCAAATCACTTTGGATAATAATTCCTTTATTATATTAAGTATTTATTTTTATTATAATTAAGGATTGTCTAATCGTAAAATTAGTCCTTAATAATGAAGCCTTCTCATTTTTTTTTCCTGTTTTAAATCACCGGTATACCAATTTTACAGTTTAATTAATGTTTATCGGTAATACCAATTTTACAGCTAGAAATCTGTCTTTTCTAATAAATCTGTCTTTCTGAATCATCAGAATTCATTGCTGATGAAAGCCCACGGTGACCAAGATCTCATTAGTTTATTATTTATATGAACAAAAATTTGGTATTTTTCCGTTTCGCCGGCGCAAATCTCGCCAAACAGACTTTATTGGCGACAACACACAGTACACACATAAAAAATGTTAACATACGTTAGTTCTAAGGAATTTCTATTTTGAAGGCATAAACATTTTAATATCGTTTAAAATTTTGTAAAAAAGACAGAAATAAAGACAATAAATTTGTAAAATGACATTAATTAAAGAATGTACTATGCTTTCATGGTTCATCATCCTGATTCGCCGCTTCATATCACGTGACCCCAAGTGATCTCAGCTCTCGTAAACTATGCTACAGAAACCTAATTCTGTCAGTTATTATATGCATTAATTTCAAGTTAAATCTTAATTCGGAATGCAAGTGTAAATGCAAGAATTATTTCAATTCGTACGAATAGCTCACTCAGAAATTATGTAAAACCGCAGTGCTTTACTTCGCTAGCGCATTCTCCATTAGAATTGATGAATTTAACCCTTGACTTTGCCTTTTCTATATTTTCGCCTTCGGGTGAGCGGTGTGATTACATCCTATTGGCTTAACTCCCACGAATGGCCTTAGGGGTTAAAATTGAACTATCTGGTAAAAATTCCTATGTAATTGTATGCCAGTATTGAAAGAAACAATCAATCTGATTAGGATTTGCTGCGATTTCTTTTGAAAATGAGGCGTAAAACGTTACCAGCGAGGATATTCCGTTTGGCGCCAGTTGTACCATTACTGGCGATTTTACCGCGCAGGCTAAACGGAAAAGTACCAAACATTTTTTAAAAAGGTATTAAAAGGTGTTTCTTACAGCTTTTGTACTGTTCACAGAAAACTTTTTTTAAGCCAAAGAATTTTAACTACTTCACCTAGCAAAATCAGAAAATGTGCTACTAAACCACTTCTCTTACAGTTATACGTATTTCTGCCCTTGCGCGCAACACGTATTTAAATATTCCCGCAGGTTATAGAAACGATATTTGTTACAGATGAATGGCCTTTTTTTTCTGGAACTCTGTTTTACGTATTGCATTTATTATAGTTTGCTTTGATGGAGAACGTACTTACAAGCTTCTGCGATGAATATCCACGCCTTCGCAACCACAAATCCAAGTTCTGCATCTTGTTGGGTATCGTATGCTTCCTTCTAGGTCTACCTTGTGTTACGAAGGTAAATATTTCTACAAGATCTTAATTTTAAGATAGACAAGCCAATATGAAATTTAAAATTAGGCAAAATTCAAATATAAACCGAAGTTGTCTTTATAGAAAAGTTCTACCCGTTTTGAAAATCTGTATGAAACCTGCAAAACTAGCATTCATAGGTAGAATTTTGCCGGAAAATAATTCTTGTTGATCATGTGCAGGCTGGGCAAAACGTCCATTGCACTCGCAATTATTTCATTGTGACTTACATAACACTTAAACTCATTTGTGCAAAACGTCCGTATATGCACCACTATTATCTCTGCTTAGTTTTGATATGCTGAATGTCCTCCTACTCTTCTGCTTTAGCAGCTGCGGTGCCACACATGCTGAAAGTAAGACATCCTTTAAAAAACTAGCCCACGCATAAGTTGTTCATGTAATTTGACGTAACTTTCTGGTCTCGCAGCAAATTTTCTTCTTTTATATTAACAGATTCAAAGCGGTGGCTACGAAATATCTTTTTAAAATGAAGTTTTATTTTCGCAAATTGGCGACCTATAACATAGTTATCTCGGTAGTTCTTAAAACATGCTCTTTTACTTGAATTTTCTGGTATCATTGACTTCCTGCATGTATCAATTTTATAATTATAGTCATAATCAATTACAATTTTTACAAAGTACAGGATGCGACAGCGTTCATAGCGTAATTTGTCTTGCATAGTACAATGACATACTGCATGAATGCACGCCAGCTCGCGCCGCATCCGTGTACTAATGAGCTGCCATTTCGAGTGTGATAGTGATATGGATCGGTGGAGTGCACAGCATCGTGCCTTTTCTGTCAAATATTATTTCAAGAATAAGTACTCTGTTATTACTACCCAGCGTCTATTTCGGCAACATTTCAACTTGGGACGTCATCGGAAAGTTCCAGTTGGACGGACCATTGCGACAGACATTTCCAGGTGGAGCAATTTCCCGTTTTGGTGACATTTCCTGGCCGCCTCGCTCACCTGATCTTTCATGTGCAGACCTTTTCCTTTGGGGCCACCTGAAGCAAGAAGTTTTCCGAACACGTTGTGCCACCATTCCTGAGTTGAAGGATCGCATCAGAACTGCCGTCAGCAGTGTCCCAGGAAATAAATACGTTACGCCGAGTTATGGCAAGCTTCCAACGCCGCCTAGATGAATGTGTTGTGCAGAGGGGGCATCATTTGACAGGCATCATATTCAGAAAGTAATCCACGCAATGGACAATGACTTACACATTAGTAAATGGCATACATTTAACTATTAAATGACATAAAAGGTAATAAATAAATTACAGCTACTGCCTTATAGTGTGTTTTTAATATTTTGCTATAAACGCTTCCGCACCCTATACTTCATTTCTATTTTAGAGTTCCATTTTTACTTTAAATTCGAATCTGCATTGAATCTAGCTCTTTCTTATCGACTTTGACCAGTCCATTGAATTTTTTTCACTGTGTCGCCATATTTCTTGTATAGTTTTCGCATTTCCAGATGCATTTTAAATTTAAGTCGCAACAAACTTTCAAATGGTATTTTTAACTGTGGAAATCAAATAAAGTCACGCGATGCTATATCCAGTGATGCAGAGGTTACGGAGACGTATTTACACCATTTTCAACCAAAAATTCATGACAAGAGCATTGTACACAAATGTTTTCGTGATGCAATATTTGTGAGTTTAGCGGTACAATTACGCTTGTTTTTTTATGTATATATAAATTGCGTCACACAACGTCACAGAATCCTTTAATAGTGTTCTAACAATTCAACAATTTGACAGAAATAACATAATTAACAACACCATGATAAGAGAAGAAAGGAATCTTCACTAACTTGATTTTTGACAGGCTTTGACATCATGGTTCCAGCTTTGCTTCATCTTTTCAGCACTCATCACTTGATCGTTGAGCTTTTTCTGTAACAAAATCTTACATTCATGTTTTGTCACTAATCGTAACGCGTGGTAAGAAAGACTTCCTTTAAGAAAATATCTCCTGTATCAGTAAAATGCACTGTTACTTATACGGAAAATCAAAATTTTTTAAATAATTCGAGAAACGAAAGGCAGCATGCCCAGATGATTTTTCAAAAACTGTTCAGCAGAAGCGAAATGGTATAGGGACTTGTTTAAAAATGATAAACTAACATCTAAAGTACCAAATCCCTGATTTCTTCGATGTCTTGCTCAGTGAATGACGCTTACTTGAAGTGAATCGTCTACTATATCATAGCTCACCTTTGTCGCATTCTATGCCTTCCTTAAACTTCGTGTGCCACTCAAAAACTCTTACTTTTGATGCAATATTATCTTTGGATTCTTTTTCAGCATTTCAAATGAATAATTTCTTTGTAATTCAGCATTTCAAATGTCTTTTACTAAAAATTTTATTCGAAACTAAATTTAATGAAATTTCTTTGCAAAATTACATTTGCTATTATCTGAAATAGCCAAAGCAAAAATTCTTTATATAGTGCAAAAGAATTTATTAACAAATGATTAAATGAATTAATGCAGATTATTGCAAATTGTTGATGAAAGGCGTAACAATTTCTGAAAACCTTTGCAAGCAATTTCTTGCATGTACATATTTTAAACGAATCATTATCATTACTTTTTTATCACAGTATACTAAAGCATGGAATTTATGTTGCGAGTCATAAGAATATTTAAAGTATTTAATCGCGTGCATGCAACAAGAATGTTGTATACGAACAGATTGTTATCGGGTTGTCCGGAAAATAATGCAGGGTTTTGAAATTGCTTATCTTTCCTGTATATTTTTAGAAACAAAAATATTTTGAATTACATTGGTTTATATATCATTTTGAAGCTCTATTTTCGCTCTATATTTGTATAATAATCATTTTGTTCCAAAAATTATTTCATTGAATATTTACTAGGCGTTTTTGTTTAAATGTCAAAACGGGATCTTCTGCAAGTTTACTTTTATGAGTATAAGCTAGCACAAGCATCACAAACGCCTCGAAATGCCAACAAAGTACGGGGCGAGAAACGTGTTATTGAATCTATACACTGGTGTGCAAAAATTAAGGACGAAGTCGAAAAATTAGCATATCAGCTGAACGAAGAGGCAGAGCGGACAGAAAGACCAATCAGGAAATTAAGTAAGGTGATGTACGGTAGCACAAGCGCAGATATGCATGAGTAACGTAATGGGGGAGTGTCTGAGTAGTATAAAGCATGTTGTCGTGTAAGATCAGTATTTCTGGCAAAGAGATTGCCCGCCGTATAGCATTAAAATCACACCGAGTTGCTGCCTCAGCGAGAATGGCGAATAATCAATCTGTTAGACGACATCTGGATGCTTTTTACCCGAGGGTCGAATCATTGGGAAGTTGGAGGAAGGCCGCAGTGTGACAAGTGTGGCTGCAGAGTTCGGAATTGCTCACAGCATCGTTCACGACTTTGGAGACAATTTCAAACTACAGGAACAGCTATCCGGGGGTTTAGTAGTGGTCGTCCACGAGGAAACACACCCGCAGATGACCCGTATATTGCCTTACAGGCCAGAAGAAACAGGCGGCAGACAGCGGGAGAAATCGCTAGACACACGACACAGGCGACTGGACGACCGATATCACGATTTACCGTGGCCAGAAGACTGCACGGTGGTGGTCTATTTGCACGACGCCCTGTACGATGTGTACCTCTAACGCCTGCCCATCGGAGAAGGCGTTCTCTGTGGTACCGGGAACACCGGAATTGGAGAAACAATGAATGGGGACGAGTACTCTTTACAGATGAGAGCAGATTCAGTCTGAGTAGCGATTCTCATCGCATACTCATCTGGAGAGAGCGGGGAAGCCGCAATCATCTCTCGAACATCATTGAAAGGGACAGGTATGGAGGTGGCGGTGTTCTCGTTTGGGGAGGCATCATGCTTGGTAGTCGTACAGACTTCACATCTTCGACGCAGGTTCAGTCAACGGGACCCGTTATTGTAATGAGATTCTTCTTCCATATGTGCGTCTTTTTAGAGGCGCTATGGGTCCGCAGTTCGTTTTCATGGACGACAATGCACCATGTCATCGCACAGTAGCTGCCGAACAGCTCTTAGAGAGTGAGGATATTGAACGAATGGATTGGCCGGCACGATATCCGGATCTCAATCCCATCGAGCATTTATGGGATTTTCTAGGCAGACGCTTGGCAGCTCGTACCTTACCACCAGTAACGATTCCGGAGCTTCGATTGGCGCTGCAAGACGAATGGGCAGCAATGCCTCAACAACTCATTGACACCTCATTCTCAGCATGGGCAGACGCTGTGAAACCTGCCTAGCAGTCAGGGGAGATCATATCCCCTATGAAAGACCGGATGTTCTTGCTGGACACCCATCACAGGGATGTTTCGGCCTTAAGTCGCATTGCGCTCCATGCTACTTTTTCAATAAAGCTTCTTTTTATCCCTCTGATTTCTCTTTTAGTAAGTGTTGCTTACATTAATCATGTCCTTACGTATTTGGGGATCTTACGGTGTTAAATGTGTTGATTTGGAAAGCTTTCGTACAAAGTTATATTGAAAAAACCGTCTCGTCCTTAATTTTTGCACACCAGTGTAGTTCAAGGCGGTGGTACCAAAAGTTTCGTCGGGGAGAATTTTACCTGGAAGATCAAGAGTGTCGTGGACGCTCTTGGGCTGTTGATGACGATGATTTGAAGATTTAAGTTGAAACAAACCCGTGCACAACTGTTCGAGAGCTTGCGGAGGAGCTTGGCGTAAGCAAAACAGCGATTTCTGATCACTTGGAATTGTATAGGAAAGTAAAAAAGTTCGATAAGTGGGTGCCTCACGAATCGAGCGAAAATCAAAAAAAATCGCCGTTTTGAAGTGTCATCTGATCTTCTTCTCCGCAACAAAAAGGATCCTTTTCTTGATCGAATTGTTACGTAAGATGAAAAGCGGATTCTATCTAAAAACTGGCGACATTCGGCTCAGTGGTTGGACCGCGATCAGACACTACAACACTTTCCAAAGCTAAATTTTCACCAAAAAAAAATTACGGTGACTGCTTGGGGATCTGCGGCCGGTCCCATCCACCACAGCTTCCTAAATCTGGGCGAAACGATTACAGCAGATACATACTGTCATCAAATTCACGAAAGGTTGGAGCGCATGTGTTCGACGTTGGTCAACAGAAAGCGGCCAGTTCTTCTCCATGACGGCCGCATGTCGTGCAACTGACCCTACAGAAAATTGAATTGGGATACGAGACTCTCCCTCTTCCCCCATATTTGCCTGACTTCTCGCCGACCGATTACCATTTTTTCGAACATCTGTATAAAATTCCACAGAACAAAAGCTTCAGAAACCAAGACGAGGTCAAAAAAGCCTTTGACAACTTTATCGCGTCCAGAACTCCAGAATTCTGTTCTACCGGCATAAATAAACTTATAATTAGCCTGGCAAAAATGCATTGATTCGGCTGGTGCTTATTTTGATTAATAAAATTGTCTTTGAGTTATAATACTTTAAAGATATAGGTTAAAAACCTGCATTATTTTCCGGACAACCTAATAGTTAAAAGAGTATCGGTTTAATTATAACTTTTATCAAAGACAATTAAATAATATGGTCATATCACTATGCTCATTTGCATTGTAAATTTTTTTAAAGATAAAGCTAGATATATTCAGTAAAATGAGTTAACGTTTAACGAGAAATATTTTGAGCTACAAATTCTGAGACATATAATAATGTTTATTAAAATTCTATGATTAAAATTTATATCACATTTAATTATTTCCTTTGGATTTTTAAATTTTTCTTTTCAGGGTGGACAATACGTTTTAGAGATGATGGACAAGTATGGAGGAGGAACAGCTGTGGTTTGCGTGGCTGTTGTTGAAAGTATGGCTATTGCCTGGCTCTACGGTAAGTTCTTCTACAATTTTATAAAAATGTTTAGCAATCAACTCTTAATTACATTAATTTCTACATTCATGGCTACATATTTTTTGTCACTAATCTTATGTTATTGACCTGCCTGATTGTGAGCGTCAGCTTTAATTCGAGGACAGCTTAACATCTCTGTAATTCTGGAAACCCCACCCATCTCTTGCAGTTTTCAAACTCTGAATAATGTACCTAACATTTAGGTCAGTACATAAAACTCTTTCTTAACAAGAGCTCATATTAAGTACTGTCTATTATTTCGTGAAATGTTGCGTATCTTAATTTATTTCGGGAAAGAGAAATACCACAGTCTCAGTTTAGAAGCTCATATTAGTCATAAAAGTTCATTTAAATTAAAGCAAATCGTATATAGAAACTTAAATTTGAAAGTTATAGAAAAAATATGCAATTTTAAGGAACTTAGATTACCTCTTTTATGCCGTAAAAAAGTGATGCTATGAAATTTTATTCTATGATTCTATGAAGCATTCTTTTACAGGCAAACCATTCACAAACAATAATAACCCTTAAGCACACACCTCTATTGTAAAACGTTAGTAGATGCATACAATAAATATTTATCAAAAGAAAATTTTCGAAAATCACTCTCCTCCTCGTTGCGTTCTGTGCGATGAAGGCCATGACTCTAAAAATTGGTCTAAGGCTATAACCATTCTAATTGTGCCGATTGTAAATGCCCACATGTGGCCAAATAGACGAGCTGTTCCTTCTAACGTCAAACTAAGAAGATGAATTTTCAACTATGTTTAACGACAAAATATACACTGAAATGGCAAAAGCATTGGAATCTAAATCATCTGAGTTCAATGAAAAGGCTAAGAGAACTTTTAAACCTTAACAACCACTATCAACATATTCAAGAATTTTTAAACTAGAATTATCAGTTTAAATCGAGTCTTGAATGATTTATCTATACCTAAAATAAGAATAAACGCTTATCTTCAGAGGAAAAGTGGCTCTTAATGTGTTTATAGATATACCTATACACATGTGTTTCAATAAATAGTCATTTATTTTATATAGCGTAAATACGTTTAATGCTGATTTGTGTATCAAATGTATTTTACGTGTTTCCCACTTCTGAGGCATTTCGTGTACCATGTATATTTTTACTCCTGAAGAGATTTTTCGAAAGACAAGTTAAACCATTTTTTTCTGCTCATCAAATGAGTAGTTCACCATTATTTATTACTATTCCAAGTTAAATACTCTATTCCTATCTTTTACTCCATTTACTCTAATCCTACTTTACTACATTTACTTTAATCCTACTTTACTACATTTACTCTAATCCTATCTTTTAAAACATCGTTAAAGTTATACTATAAAATGTCAAGTTGAAAAATCTAGCGAATAATCAAACATCCCTGTCCAAGCAAAAATATATAGTTACTGATAACAAATTTAAAAAAAGTAATTTATAAATATCACAGGAATATCTAATTTAAAATGGCTATTTATTTACAATGTGTCAGAATGTTTGTATCAACTTTGTCTCATTTTACTTTTTCCCTGTAAATTTTAGGTAGACTCTTTTGAAATAATCTTATTACCCAGAAATTAAATAGATATGATCATTATATGTTACATATCATATTAAATATTTATCATTATTATGCATTATAATCATATTAGATATATGTGAGCATCATGCATTATATATCATATTAAATATATATGAGATTTTACATTATATACCCATTGTATAGGATAGGAAAGAATAAAACATGGTACTTATATAGAAAGTGCATCTATTACATTTATATTTTCATATCACATTTTCTAGCGATATTTAATCTTCTTAACAAACAGTGCAAGAAAATTAGTTTTCTAAAATTTCTTCTATTTAAATTTCCAAGTATTATTTTTTCCTTTGATTTAATATGAAATTCTTCGTAAGTTAAAGGGGGAAAACAAACAAAGGAGTGTAAAAACATGTTCATCAGTAAATAAAGAAATACGATTTTATTGCATCTTTCGGGCTAATTTGATTTAAAAATAACAACCAAACTGTATGCTGGAAAGAGAAATGAAAACCTTAGGTTGCTTCACTGGGGAATAGTTCAATAAAGTAATATTTTATGCCAGGTGAAAATAATAATTAGTTTAAATCATTTCAAGAGATTGTTATTAAAAGTAAATACAACAAGTCTCGTAAAACTAAACTATTTTAAGAAATTAAGATAAATTCCCTTGGTTTGCAAGGTTTGATTTATTCTTAATAAAGCATTTATTACATTTCGCTTTCCTTAAGAAACATGTTGTGGGAGAATACGGTAATATAAAAGGAGAAAATAAAAAGAAAAGTATAAAAAATACGCATTATGCTGCTTTTTACAGATAAACCATGTTTTGTATCTTGAGTTAAATTATAATATTTTCATCATAAAATATGTCATATTAAGCTAAAAATGAACAACACAATTCAATAATTTCAAAGATATAAGATGAAGCAAGTGAAATTAAATCAAAAATAAAATAACAAAATAAAATAACTGAGACATCACTGAGATATTAAATAATCTTAAAGTATACATAATTTTTTCCTGCCATCCATCTTTTACTTGTTCGACATATTTTTATAACATACGACATTTTAACTTTTATATATCTGTAGAAAATCCCCTAGAATTTTTACAGCACTTATCCTAGGTGTACAAGTACTGGGATTATAATCCCTTTAAAATAATCAATAAATGCAAATCATTGTGTTTTCTTTTCCTTTGTGTAGGCCAAATAAGAATATATGATCGAAAGTACACAAGCGTCTTCCTTACAAAATTCTTCAAGAAAGTATGGCACCTATTAGGTAGATAGCCTTGCATGTTTTGCCGTAATTGATTAACAGTATATAATTCTTGACAGTTTCTAAGGAATAACGATTTATGGAAATGTTCGTCCCGACAGCCTCAAAAGCACAAGAGCTCTTACCTGTGTAAAAGGTAGTTCACTCCTACTGTTTCCTTATTCGTTAACTGCAAACGGTAACGTTTGACAGAAAAATCACGATCTTTGTTTTCGAATATATTATCGTAAATTTTCATCTTCGGCCACAAATATTGATTTCAAAATATTTATAAGACATTCATTGAGTCAATATATGATCTTGGTCGAATAATTTGACGTCTCGAGGCAGTGCAAAGGGTCACTCCAGTTACCACAGAAATAGAACATGTAGATGTGTATTATCTCACCATTTAACAAGATTGCTATATACTGTGTAAAAGCAGGTAAGAAATTGTTGGAAAAAACCCATGCCTCAAAGAAGTAGATATGGTGCCCTAATGTCAGAAAGAGATAGAAATGCTATCCTTGGACAGATAGCCGCAGATCTTGCCAACGCTACCGGCATGCTCGTATCTGCAAGAACCATTTCTCAACGATTTAATAATTTAGGGTTATATTCATGGGAGCTTATCGGATGCAATCACCTATGAGCGCGCCATTGTTGGGAAAATTACGTTGATGTAAGGATCATATTTCATCGGGGGACAGTGATCCATGGTCGTGTTGTTTGACGAATCCCACTTCACTGTTAACAGGGATTCTGAACATCAATTAATGTGGTGATAAGAGAGAAGCTTGTTCCATCACCAGAGTATCCAGGAAACTTATTACTAGGGGCAGCGAGTAAACGTGTGGGTGGGTATCATGCACAATGGCGTAACTGATTTTGTACCTTTGACGGAGGTATAACGACTTTACAGTGACATTTTATTAAAATTCTTTAAGGTCACATTCATATTTTCATGGTTCAGCTGATCCAGACTTTGCGTTTATGGATGATAATGGTAAGGTATTTGATACACTAGCAGGGGAACATATTTAGTGTATGACATGTCTTGCATATATCCCATATCTATATCACATATACTTCGCCTAGGATGTGCTGGATGTGTTTAAATCCCTCTGTGAACCGTACAGGAACACAAAATCTCCCTGACAGACGAGCAGGTCAGGATCACACAAGCTTTCCCTAGCAGTTTATGGCACATCATGCGTACCAGCTACAAAATATGTACCATTTCTGACAAGGTGACTCTACATACTGACGTGACGTGAAGTGTCTTTATTTTATTCATAACTATCCATTTTTCGTAACCGTTGAAATTAGCTATAATAAAGGTATCTGCACCTTTTTTTCATAATAACGATTATTCAGCATCTCCATTAAATTTGTGCCAGGTATTATTTCTTTAAAGGATGCTCATCATTATTTATGACGAATAATTGCTTTCTTCTTTGCAACTGCAAGCAGTGTATTCACCATAATGTGAGAGACAGAGTTTCATTTTAATTTTACCTCCCACTACCCAATGTATATGTAGGTAAGGGAGGTAATGTTTTCTATCCAAAAACTCGATTGTGAGTTTTCAGTGAATAAACACGAATTTACAGATCCTGCAACGCATTTTACTATTTTCAGAAAGATGCCCGTCTCTGTGTCTGTATGTGTATGACGATATTTTTGCTCACAATAACTCATGTTAAAATTTCAAACATTTTAGCTTTGTAAATGTATAGTGTCGGTGCAGCATGATTGGCACTCTAAATATGCGGGGAGCCGAAAGTTTTCTCGTGCGGTAAAGGGTAGAGGAATGGGAGACCCTCGGACCCGTCCCCCTGGGGTACTCTCCATCAAAATTGGAAGCGGAACTGAGCTAAATCGCACTGTCACCTGAAAGGTGCACAAGGCTGTTGCCAACGGCATGTGTATTCTACCGCTCCTTCCCACGAGGAATTCCATGGGCTTGAACTGGCTACATCAGACAAGAGAGCATAAACAACAACAACAACACGAACATAAAAGAATTTTTCAATACTCACTTCCAGCACATCATTTCTAGAGTAGTCCCAACAAAAAAAAAAAAAAAAAAAAAAAAAAAAAAAAAAAAAAAAAAAAAAAACTTTTTTTTTTTTTTTTTTTTTTTTTTTTTTTTTTTTTTTTCAGGCGTCAGCCGTTTTTGTGACGACATCAACTTTATGCTGGGAAGAAAGCCTGGAATTTACTGGAGAACGACCTGGAGAATAACCGCCCCTGCTATCCTTACAGTAAGTGTAACAAGAAATTTATTTTATTTGCTTCTCAAGTTTAACCCGGGAGCACACGCGGCGGGTATGTCATACCCATATGCATTTTTCTTTTCGTATATTTCTCCCCCATTATTTCATAAAAGGACGAAACTTGGTGTAGCTGAGTTCAAGGTCACATACTTAAATGGGGGAAATTCCTGAGGTGGCAAGTGCAACGGTTTTTTAGGACCAGCATTGTTCGGGCATGTCATACCCGCGCGTGTACTGGCGTTTCTCAGTGAGTCACTTTGCACTTCTCGTTTTCAAGCTTTTAGTATAAGTTTTTCTTGGGTTGTAAGCATGGCGCCGCATATTCCTTACGATGAAGAGATGAAAAGATTGAGAAATCTCCTTGAAACAGTTTCTTCTGATGAGGATTCATTTAGTGAAGAAGAGGAAGATGTTGATGACGAAGAATATAATTAGTAATCATGATTCATCCATAAGAGTAGTGATTCAGATACAGAAACAGAAAATGAAACTCTGAATGTAGCAATGAGTTTTATGTTGGGAAAAAATGGAGTAAAATGGAACAAACAAATTTCCGGACTAATGTTAGAATTGGCGCCAAAAATATTATAAGCTAAACTCCCTGGAAATACAAAGTATTCTAAAGACGTCTCAACACCATTAGAGTCCTTGTCATTGCTTATCGATGAAGATAGTATGTTAAAACATGTAGTTGATAAATACAAATATTTATATTGATTCAGTACGAGAAAATTTCACACTCGTGAAGCGGGATGAGTACTTTTCTCAAAGCCTTAGGGATGCAGCTAATAGAAATGTTCGAAATGAACGACGACGAGCATCTGTGGTTCCTGATTCTGACGAACACTGACACCGATGAACATGTTACAATGGACCGCCCTCCAAAAACCTAAAATGACTTACAGAGGTGTACAGAGTGCTCCAAGAAAAAGATAGAAAGACTAGATTCTTTGTGAAAATTGTAGCAAAAGTATATGTATGGAACATATGACCTCATTTGTAACAATGTTCAAAAAATTGTAAGTAATAATTTTTCCTGTCCTTATTGTTTCCTATTGGTCTAAAATGAAGTATTAACTTGGTTTTACATTAATTTCTTTTAAAAAAACGATTAATTTTGTTTGACAAATTTTTAATTACAATTTTTTTATTCGGGTATGACATACCCGGCGCGTGTTCTCGTGTTCGTCGGATCGGTGCGTGTGCTCGCGGGTTAAGGATTATTGCAGATTATCGCAATCTTCACAAGGGATTGTTTTGTGATTATTACCGCAATCTTCGTAAGGTATTATTATTCACGAGGGATTATTATTACTACATGATATCTCACAGCTATCATCGAGTAGAAACTCAACATTACAAACACGTTAAGAATATCGATCCAAGTGACTAACGGCCACTCACAGTTTGCAATTTATGTAATTTTTCAACAGGAAGGGAACATTTCTGGAAACGTCCGGAAAATCGTTCTTAAGAGTTTCGAAACCGATTTTTCTGTGTACTTCCAGAATGTCTCCGCATTGGCAAAAAATTACCAAATATAATCAAAATCACATAGCAGGACTTCTGACGTGCTGTGAGATAATTCGTCGAATAAATATGTACAGACAAATTAACGGCTCAGAAATGTAAAATTAAACAAAAATGCAATAAATAAGCATAAAATTGTACTGCCTAAAATCCAAATCATAAATAAATAAATACTAATGCTTGAAAATATGTACTACAGAAGTGTAATTTAAATGTTCGTTTGAAACATACTCTTTCATCCAACCTTATTTCGATTGAATTTAAGAACGAAATAAATATATTTTTCAAACAAATTGCATTCAGAGCTTCTGCTTTTCAAATGAAAGGTAAAGTTGTAAGGTATTTCTCCCACTTCCCTAGCGTGCCTTCGTGGTGTAAGGTAGTAGTTGGGCCGGTATTCCAGAGGTCCGTGGTTCGATTCCCGGCGAGGCGGTTGAATTTTTCATCTTTGCTGCTTCCAATAATCCTAATGACTCGACAAGGGGGCTCGAACTAAAGGGTTGTGATGATATTCTCCGCACCCATGAGTTGCACTAGGTACCTAAAAGCTTAGTCGCCTTAAAGGGGAGATATAAGGTATTTCCCCACTTCCCTAGCGTGCCTTCTGGTGTACGTAGCAAGCTGGGCCGGTATCCAAAGGTCGGGTCGATCCCGGCGAGGCGTTGATATTTTTCATCTTTGCTGCTTCCAATTAACCTAATGACTATACAAGTGGCGCCGAACAAAGGGTTGGGGATGATGTCCCGCACCATGATTGGCGACTAGTCCCAAAACCAGTCGCCTTAAAAAGGAAGATATAAGGTATTTTCACCTTCCTGCGTGCGTTCTGGTGTGCGGTAGCACACTGGGCGTATAGCAAGGTCAGTGGTTCATTCCCACGAGGCGGTTGCATTTTTATTTTTTCGCTTCCGATTACTAATGACCTACAAGTGTTGAGAGCAGACTGCAAGAAATTGAATTTCTAAATGAATGCTTATTTATTCAACCATTTAAAATTATCCTTTTCTCTTCATGTTGGTGGACATCGCAATATTTCAACTAAAGGCTTCTTTAATTTCACAATAGCCCAAGACAATTTTCAGGCATTTTTACCCTAAAAGTAGTTCAAAATAACTATGTGTAATGATACTGCTGCAACGGCACATTATTTCTGCAAGAAACTTAAAAGGCTAAAACGTTCTTAAATATTTAAAAAACTTTTATAATTGGTAGAATCAAATCATGTAGACCCATAGCAAAGGGATATTTCGAAGGAGTAAGTTTATAAGGTATTTCTTCCACTTTCTTAGCATGCCTTCGTAGTGTAGTGGTCAGCACACTCGACGCGTATTCAAGAGGTTGTCTTTCGAGTTACGACGAGGGCATTGCTTATTGTTCATCTTTCCTGCTTCGAAATAACCTAATGTCTGTACAAGTTTAAAAGGATCGTGTCCTCAGTTTCTTGTTAGATATTTGATTAATCCATCTAATAAATTATTCATTCAAGAAATGCTCTTTATGAGGTGCTCAGCATAGATGTCTTGATGACACATACCTCTAAACCGCCTTTTTAAATGTGAATGCAAATTTTGCAAAGATGTGAACAGAAAACACCACACACATACACACGCATTTTTAGACTTATCCATCCAGATTTTCCACGAAAAAGCGCTTCTGGGCTTTTAAGAACGATGGGAAAGAAGCCGGTGGAATGACGCATTTCAAGCTTTGTTACCCAGCATAACCATAAGGCATATCTCTATATGCTAATATATATGCTTACAATATTTATGGCGCGAGTTTCGATACATTCGGAGGAACATTTTCCCACTGAGGCACAGAAAAAGAAATTCTCGTTTTACATGCTCTCGCCACTCTTGCAGGACGAAGGAATTCTCTGCTTTCTATCCTTTCTCCTGCAGTTCTCTTTCTGCAGCAGTAAAAAACGATCTATTTGCTTCGTTCCATTAACCCCCGAGTGTGTTTTAGAGCCGCAGGACGAAGAAATTCTCTGCTTCTATCCTTTCTCCTGCAGTTCTTTCTGCAGCAGTAAAAAACGCTCTATTTGCTTCGTTCCATTAACCCCCGAGTGTGTTTTAGAGCGGTATGATTTTTCCAATTTAGTTCTTTTATTTTTTCGACTTTTTGGACCGGGTTATACGTGATGACCGTGACTTTTCCGTACGTTTCAGTGTATAATCGAGTTCCCGGCCAGATCTCTAAAATTCTACCCTCTAAATGAAAAATTCTTATTGGTAGAGGTAGCATTTGTAGCGGTTTTGGTGATAAATAAAACTTCCTTTTCCGTTGGCCCATCCAATCAGTCAGTCAGAGAAACTGACAAAAAAGGGATCAATGTATGCTGCATTTCAGAATTTCGTAAATAAATATTAAAGGATGAACTTATTATTTTATATTAAAGCGAGACTTAATTTAAAACTCTCTGTACCTTACATGTGTTTGTGGAGAAATTATCTGATAGCGTTAAAAAAAAAGTGTGAATGATTTTATGATTAGGAATTTAAATTTATTGATCTGAATTATTAATTTAGGTTTAATTTTGGGTGGAAAAAACATGCTTCTGGAAATATTTTTAGTTTAAAAGAGTATTATTTATTTCTTTTGTAAATCTTGTAAACTTTTATCATTGTGAAAGAAGAGGGAAAGGGAGGCAATTTTCGCCAAGTCATGATTTCGCGCGCTTTAGAATGTTCGAGAAAGATTTCATGTTAGTTGACCGAAGGAGGAAGTACGTGACGGAAAGGTCAAAGGTTGCTACTTGTCTTTCAATGTAAGTCATTCAGGTTTTTGGTGATTGAGGGTCCGGTTGTTGGCTAAGTGAAGAAGGGTCCAGAATGGTCCAGAATAGGTCCAGAATAGGTCCAGAATAGGTCCAGAATGCGGAAATAAGGGTGATCGCGCATGCGCGAAGACGAAGGAAATTCGAGTTGGATACACACTGACATACTTACTTTTTTGGCTGACTCTCGAACTGACTCGCTGATTTTCGGGCTTGCTGGACTGACGGGCTTGCTGGACAAAATGTAATTACGAAGCGGGATGTTTTCCGGCGGGGAGCGGCAAATATGCTCCCGGCCGCGTTTGGTTAAGAGGCGAGACACACTTACTCTTGACTCGCTTAGACTCTTACTCTTGACTCGCTTAGGCACTCACTGCTTGGATTCGCTGACTTTCGGGCTTGACGGACTTGTTGACGGAGACTGAGAAAAAAACTTGTGTGTGTTGCGAAGGAGGAAGGAAAGGATTTAGTCGGCATCGAGCGGTGCTTCCGGCGGGGAGCGGCAATTATGCACCCCGGCCGCGGGTTTTCTCAAAAATGCGAAGAAAAAAAACTGTTGAGCGATAACAAAAAAATTAACAGAGACTTGGGTCTCTATCTGTCTCGGCAAAGTCAGGACGATGTCCTCTGAACTCCCTTGAAAACAGAGGAATTATGTCACCTTAGTCAACTGGAAGCC